ACGCAAAGTTTCCCTCATATATACTAACTTTCACATGATTCAGCATGAACATCATATTACGCTTACAAATCCATGTAAAATGATGTCATTTCCGATTTCGCAATAATGTTGTCACTTCGTTGACAAGCCAATCAATTCTGGGATACCTGAAAAACAATTACGGCTATTTTATAATTCCTGGAACATCTGATAAAAATTAACCTAATGATACTCCATCTGATTCGATTAAGTTATTGATTTCGGCATGATCGTATATATATAAATTAGACTGGGGTAAAGTCACCACCCAAAACGCTTCGTACATCACGTGAAAAATATGTCGAGCACCAAAAATTCATGTAAATTAAAAAAAAAATGCAAACAAAAAAAAATTTATAGACTAACAAAATGATAACGATAAGCAATTTTGTTTATTTCGAATAAACTCAATAAACATAATATTTATTACAGCCAGAAAGTATTATGATTACGGTTTTTCTAAGCATTTGGAATATTCCATAATCTTTTAAAATGATTCCACCTCCAATTTATGCAATGGCTCAAAGTTTTTATTAATACTATCGAGCCATTTGTTACTATTTGGATTCATTATAAATTCTTTCAATAATTTTTTTTGTTGCGTTCTGAATTCAGAATTATAAAAACTTTTTGCTCAAATAAATAATCATAGCTATCATATTGCACGTACATAGCATGTGTATTGTATTCAAATTACTATTATGTATTAGTGCATTTAGACTAAGACTTTTGGAGATAAGGCACATGAAAATTATTATATAAAAACTTCTAATTGGTTAATAAAAATAACATGATATATAAATGACCAGTAGTCATAAATAAATAAATGATATTTTTAGGACAAAAATGACTTGTCATATGACAAGTTGTCATTTATTTTAAATGACAATATGCCAACACTGAGTCTGCATACATATCAAGAGCCAGATAAATAAGAATATCCACCAAACAGATGTTCGTATTTGCACACATCATTTAACTCTTCAGATAACTATACACTCCGTTCCTGGTGTTCATAAATCTCTAATTTGCTAACACGCATATGAGTTTTAAATTGCTTAAATTTATAATAAAAAAAATTTAGCTTACTTCTTAAAGCATTTAGAAAAATCTTGGAAATCAGGCAAGGTTTTAATCACAACTTTAGATGATTTTTGGCGTGATCTTATTCAATTACTGTTTTTATTTTTTAGTTATTCGTATGCCATAGTAACCATATACTTTGTATCATAAGATATCACTCCATTTTTGGCATAACAAATATATATAAATACTGTTTGCGATTAGATAAAAATTATACTGTATATAGTGTATAATATTTAAAGTAAAACAATATATTTTATTATATTAAAAAACTATATATATACAAACTTATTTAAAAAAATTAACTATAATATTATATTGTATAATAATAAAAATTTTAAATTGTTCTAGAATTACTCTATAGTGAGGGTAGAATGTATTTAGACATAATCGCTAATTAAAGCAGACAACAACGAACAACGAATACTCAAAGCCTATTCGCTAAAGTTGCTATGAAATTACTTATTTGTTCTACAAGCATCTACATTCAATTCATCAAATTCACTAAAACTCAAATTAATTGCCTTACTATCTGCTGGAATTTCCATAAGCTCAATAGGTTTACTTGTCAGTATATTTGATATTTGTTGCGTGTTAATAATCTTACTAGAATACATGTGGTCTGAATGTTTTGGAAAATTAAATGTCAAGTTACTAATTTTATCAGCTTCCAAAAACTGGTTTGTAATTTCGTCTATACTATCTAAACCTTTTATTTTATCAAGCCAATATTTAAGTTGTTTTATAATTCCATCTATATTATCTGAACTTTTTATTTTATCAAGCCAATATTTAAGTTGTTTTATAACTCCATCTGAACTTTTTATTTTATCGATCTTTTGTTCAGCATTAAATCTATCATCTGAAAATTTATCAAGCAAATCAATAATTGCTTTTTTCATTTCATCTTCATCTTTCAACCCTTTCATTCTATCAAGCCAATAAGTAATTTGTTGTTTAAATTCATCTTTCTTTTTGATAAATTCGTCATC